ATTCAGCTGAAGACAGTTTAGTTCATGTAGCAAAGTTAAAGGCACCTGAAAGAGTAACTTACTGTGTATAATTGATAATTTAATGCAATGGCTTCATTTGCAACAAAAATGAGTAGTGATTGATTTTCTTAAAATATTTTGGAGCAGCTATGTAGAAAGCAACTTGATGTTTTTGATGCTGTTTTATTATGTACTATATTTTTCAGAGTATAAGACGCACCCCCCCCCAAAAAAAAAGTTGGTGGAAATGCCTGCATCTTATACAGCTAATGTATAAGCCCTGCCCACTCTTTGGCCGTTTTCGGCCTCTGTGCATCCCGTTTTTGGCCTTCGTATGCTCCATTTTAGACCTGATCCCCTGCAGGGATCACCACAGCACATCGCCACTAATCACTGCCTCCACGCGTCGTGTTTTCAGCTCTGAATGCTCCATCTTTGGCCTCCACAGTAATCAGCGGCAATGTGGTGTGCTGATCCCCGCAGACTGGAACAGGTCTAAAATGGAGTGTTCAGAAGCCAAAAACGCAATGTGCGGAAGCCAAAAACATGACACGCGGAAACTGTGATGGGCTGGGGCTGTCCAGCAAGAACTTATTGGTGGTATTCCGGGAGGCCGATCAAACCGCCAATCAGCTGCTCGTGCTGAATCAGGCTACGATAACGTGCTGAAGCTGACCAAGCTGTTTGCTGTTTGCTGCAAGCACGCTAGCTAGATGAATATTGATGGATGCTGGTAGGCAAAGGCAGATTTTTTTCCCCTCTTTTCCTCCCCCAAAATTAATGTTATCGGAGCATCTTATACTCTGAAAAATATGGTAATTTTATAATGCTCTTGTAACTCTCAAATAATAGTCTCATTTATTTTCTATTCATTTGTTTTTCAGATTCTGTTGCTTCCACTCTACCAACCAAAAGTTTGCGAGAAAGAAGGAGCACTGACCTTCCTCTTCTTGACGTGCATGCTGTAACTAGAGAAGAAGGTGAAGGAATGGAAACCACAGACACAGAGTCTGTATCGTCTGCCAGTACCCATGTACCATCCTTGGAACAGCTTCTCAATACTCCAGAAATGAAATTTGGTAAGATGGCCATACAGTGGGGCATTGCAGATTAGAATTTGTTTCTAACATATTACCAGAATCATTCATTTGGAATATGTTATATATCTCAGCAACAAATGAAATATAATATATTATGTATTTAAAATATAACCAGTAGACAAATTATTATGAGATATGAGATAGAGTAATTGCTACTCTGCCCGTGGAATCCATATAGTTAATGTACTGAGCTAACCAGAAATTTGCTTTTGGAAACAATTTTAGAACCTCCACAATGGGAAGCAGAACTTACAAAACAAGAGTTGGTCCAGAAGTTAAACACAACATCAAAGAGTGCTGATCACTTAAGTGGATTGCTTCGTGAGTCAGAAGCAACCAATGTCATCCTAATGGAACAAATTAAGGTTAGTAGACTTGTACATGCTTCAACTTAGATTTAAAGTATATGTGAATTTGATGACATTTTGCTGTTATTTACACAACAATAATTCACACACTCTACTATCATGCCATCCTTCATTTAACTCCTATTCCTATAAGTAGTGATTCTCTTGTTAGAAGTTTTGTTGGTTGGGCAACAGGTAATTTTGTGGATAAATAAGCAAATAAAATACAGAAGGATGGAAGAGGGAAGAGAAGTTGCCCATTACAGAGTTCTGACTCCTGAAATAATGTTTAGAATCCTTCAAGATATTTAAAAAGAGATGGACATTAAATTTCTTAGGTTGGCAACATACAAAATTTGAAAAAAAATTAAGACACATGATTTTGTCCTGGTCTCTTATCCATTATGGTTTCAAATGAATACGCATGTTAAAAATAATTAGGGTTCAGGTTTTCAATGTGTTTATAAAATGTAGAATTTGTCATCTGATAAAGAACTATGGCTGTATAGAGCCTGGGATATGCAAAGCCAAGTCACAGGCAAGAGCACTAGTCAAAGCCAGGGGAGTGTAAACCAAAACAAACAATTGTTCATGACAAAGACAAATTTCCCCCAATCCCTATCGTCCTCAGCCCTGGCCTCTCCAAGCATTCCAAAGGAGATGTGCCATCTCCATCGGTCAGTCCCGGTTTCAACTCTTTCTCAGAACCAGGCCATGACAATTATTTTGTTAAGGCCTAAAAAAGTGATCACAATAGTACTCATATACTGCTCCATAGTGCTTTACAGCACTCTCTAAACAGTTTACAAATGTCAGCATATTTCCCTCAACAATCTGGGTCCTCATTTTATTGACCTCGGAAGGATGGAAGGCTGAGTCAACCTTGAGTTGTTCAGGATCAAACTCCTCTCCAGGCTGTGAGCAGAGTTCTAACCACTGCGTTCTAACCATTATGCCACCATGGCTCCAATAGATGTGCTATTACCCCTACAACTCAAGAGAAGCTTCTGTATTTTGCCATCAGATGGGACACTTGAAATCAGAAGGAACACAGTGCCAAGTCCCTGGCAGATTTGAAGATCATTGGTGTTCTCAGTTAATCTTTGCTTGACAGCGAAGCAGTTTATTATACGAGAAATCAGGAAATATGTGTTTTATTCCTTTTAGCCTGAGACACATAGCTAATGATTAGGAATTGTGAGAAATTTATTCAGCAATACCTGAAAGACCACAAACTGACCCTGTGTTCATGATTGCACCATATTTATCTTGGATGTTTCAACACGGAATACCTGCTTATATTGTTTTCAGGGCTATTTTTCTAGTATAAGTATGGCCTGATAAACTGTGTGCTTTCTTGTCTTCGTTCTGAGAAATATATTTCTTTGGGTTTTTGTTTTTGTTTTTCATTCTCAGCTTCTTAAAAGTGAAATAAGGCGATTAGAAAGAAACCAGGAACGAGAGAAATCTGTTGCTAATCTGGAGTATTTGAAGAATGTTCTATTGCAGTTTATATTTCTAAAATCAGGCAGTGAAAGACAGAGACTTCTTCCAGTAATAGACACCATGTTGCAACTAAGCCCAGAAGAAAAAGGAAAACTTGTCGCAATTGCTCAAGGTATGCCAGTCCGTTTTGCTACTAGCATTGTTAAAGGAAGGGACATATGGTAACTTTTGTTTGAATATATCTGCAACTAATTCCAACCATTGTTTTCCTGTATTTGACACTGTTGAAAAAAGACTATTTAACAAACACAATAGTATAATCTATACTGCTGCTCCTAAGAAACCATCTGTAACTGCTTATGTTCAAATTATTCAAAACATTCAACTATAGAGTGATTTTCTTTCTCAATATTTTTTTTAATTTATTCATTTTAAAAAAAATGAGCAAAAGTGCCTTAAAATCATTATCCAATAAATCTGTATGGACCAAGCAAGTGTCTGTTTCATGGCATATTCTTGATATTTCTTGTTTAAATCTGCTGGATCTCTTCCACTCACAAAAATGATGTCCTTCAATTCAATATGTTAGTCAGTAAAGGTGCTTATCAGATGCATCCTGGTCTTTTGCTACCATAGGCTAACATAGCTCTCCTGCCATTGGTAATTTCTGTGATTCTAATCAAACTAATCATCTCAAGTATACACATTTAAGATATAGTGTAATTTATTAAAAGTTAGAATTGTAATTTATGTCTTGTCATTTAAATCTGGGGCTGGATATTTAAAACCAATATGTGTTGTGTTTTGTAAGGTGACGAAGAGACCCTGTCCCAGGCCTCTGGATGGGCATCATATTTACACAGCTGGTCCGGACTCCGATGAGTTTTCACTGTTCGGGCATGCAAAATCGGCAGCTGCACTGGGAAGAATTTCAACCACAAAAATGAAGCATATAGCCGGGTAACTCTTGTTTGGGGTTTTCCCACAACTGCCTCAGTTGTTTTTTTGTTTCTTTTTAAGAAATAACAACATTCGAAATGACACTTGTTAAAAGACTTGGAGTAATATCTTGTAGTTTCCGTTTCTGACTCCCTTTTTAGGGCAAGTATGGAGGTTTTCAGTAAACTTTCCTCCTTTTCATTGACTGGTGAGACAATTTTGCATAGCATACTTTGTGCGACTGTGTCATTCATGAAAATGAATATGTAAGCTTTCACAGAGCAAAATTCTGTACATTGCACACACACACACACACACACACACACACGGGTTGGAATTTCTGGCAGTAGCAGGCTTCCATAATTTGCTATCCTCCACAGAAGATTCAATACAACTTCTAAAACATTCAGCCTTGGAATTCTATACGTTGCAGTTCAAAACATCTAGAGGATATTAACTTTGGCTGAACTACCACTTGCATTCCTCCTTTTTATCTGTCTAGGAGAAGTATGATTCAGTTTGGTGATCTGTGGTAAGCCTATCATTGACAGAAAATGCTGACTAGAGACTCCCTATGCTGTCTGAAGCTTTATTTCTTTAGTACCTCAAACTAAAAAGAGAGAGAGAAGATTTTGCTGAGCCTTAAAATGCTTATTCTTCTGGAACTGGAAGCTGAATGCAAAAATAAAGTGAATGCCTTCTGCACATTCACTTTATTTTAACAGTAAGACATTTCCCAAGCTTATTTAATGATTCTTTAGACTAATAATATACATTTTGTCTTGGGGCACTGCTTTGATAGATTATTCCATTTTCCATTCAATCACTACTTGAAAAAAGACTAAGAGCAAACTTTTAAAAATCAAATCAAAACAAATATGCATCATTTAAAAATCAGTTGGAAACTGCATTCTACTATCATTCAAAGGAAACATTGATACGTTGCTTATGTTAGTAGTATCTAAAGATAAAAAAATGATGTTTTGCTATGAATGATGAATCCAAAATATAATTGCTTGGGATTATCTAAGTTGATGTTAGCCAAAGAAAAAATATTGAAATGTAGTTTTTATGGGTTTGTCAAGATACCATTTTGTCACATCCAGATTTACCTTTGTGACTCTTGTTCTTTATCTGCATTCTACTTCAGAATTGGATCTCTTTGTGTAATGTGCACAAAAAAAGATGCTGACATGCATAGAAGCTTGGATTTAGAGCTCACAAAATTTAAGATCCATTAATAATTTAAAATCCATTTATTTGAATAAATGTGATTGAAGCTGTTGGGGTTGGGGCAACTTATTGTTTAAAAAATACCTCGGTATCCAGCTGTATGTGCTGTCAAATGGGTTACTGCTGGAGTCCAGCACAAGACCAAGATGGATTAAGAAACAATTATCTTGTCTATAGGGAAGAAGCTGCTGATGCTATTGTGCCCTGTGGTATCTGTGAATGAAATCTGAAGTTTTGGAAATAACTCTTCTTGAGAGAAATGATTTAGTGCCTATTCACCACCCTTCTCCAATGAATATCCTGTATCTGAAAATAGTGTAATTATTATATGGAAGAAGAAATATTTAGTTATTAAGAGATGACATTTTAATGGCAATGCCATTTCAGAAATGCCTATTCAACAAAATATGTTGGTCATCATCAATTTTCATAGATGTTCAGATATAAGAGTTAGGAGAAAACATCCCTCGTCATTGAAGTATAACATGAGAATACAGCCCTTAGCTCTTCTGTCTAGTTCAGCACATTTCTACCATATGCTGTTGTGGCTGTCCAGTTCCACCATTCTGAAAATGTTTGGAAAGTGAGCTTAGTTTAAGTATATAAAACATTTCTCTTCAATAGTAATAATTGTGTAACATTTCTTGATCATATCAGAAGTCTCTTTGCTTAGCCTTGATAGCACTAAGAGTAAGAGAGAGAAAACTAAGTATTGTGTCTGTTCAGATCCCAGCCTTTCTTCACAGGTGAGCCACAACTTTCATTATCCGGGTCTCTGCTAAATGTGTTGGAGGTCCTTTCCCAGAATTCTTAGCCAGTGTGGTCTCAAAGAATTGAAAGAGAATGAGGAGCAATGAGTAGGGAAGGTTGCTTGAAATATTAAAAGTTTGTCACTGAATGCTCATTAACCTCCGACACATTTAGAAGAGACCAGGATAATGAAAAATGTGGCTGACTTGTAAAGAAAGGCTACTTAGCTTTTGTCTCTCCTACTGCCAGTGCTATCAAGGCTAAGCAAATAGACTTCTGATATGATCAAGAAATGTCACACAATTATTACTACTGAAAAGAAACATTTTATATGTTAATGGTGTAACTGGACAGCCACTATAACATGTTAGAATTGGTTGTGTCTTTTCCTTTTTAAAAAGTGAATTTCACAAGTCAATAATTTGACTTCTCCCCTATCATGTACATTACATGTTTAAACTGAGAAGGAAAATTTCTGCACCATCATTAATAGTTTACTAATGCCAGAATTAGCATACCTGTAAACTTGCTACTGATTATTTCCTTATCTGCACACTTTTATTAATAGCTGTGACAATATGAAATTGTCTGGCCATTTCAAATCCTTTTTTTAATAATTTCAGACTGTGAATAAATTATACATATATCTCTGTTTATTACTTTTCACTTTCGGTTGTATGTTCGACATATTAAAATGCAAAACTTGTAAATGTAACTTATTATCTACATGCCTTAAATATATTTTACACAATGAAGAAAGATTTTGGGTAATGTGACAGGGCAGGGATTCCAATTAAAATGATAGATGCAAATTGTGGTATTTTGTAAAAGTTAAGAGAGATATATGTATAATTTATTCACAGTCTG